AAGACAAAAACTAAAGGAAAATCTAGAAAAGTATACTTTATTTAAGAAAAAAGATTCAAAAATTTCGGCTCCTCCACATTTTTTTTTTAATTTACATGTCAAAATAATGGCATTAAAAGCATACATATTTAATTTTATATATATATAGTAATAATTTAGATCATTTTCCCTTCCTCATATGCATATCCATGGATTAAGTCCCGTCGACTGTAGACAGCGTTTTACCGTTGAGTTTTAGTGAATAAATTCAAAAAAATATTATATTATATTTTTTACAATGTACTGCTACTTTAATAAATATTAAATACAAACAGGTGTGCATGATACTATTGATAATTACGCATATAGAAATTTTAATTTCAAATTAATTATTACCCAAAGCTGAAAGTATAAATATTTGATGTGCCCAATGTTCAGCTATGCGAATCACTATTTATTATTTATTATTGATTTTCGTGATGCAATTAATTTAAAATCACTTTAAGCAACTGTAATTATATAATGAATATTTACAACATTTGATATGAAAGTTTGAGGTTTTATAGAAAAATCTAGCTGTAAACCATCAGCTTCGCTCGCGTGGTTATAAGAAAAAATAAGGGATCGTCTACATATATTCTTACCGATATACACACTAACAAAGTATTTTGTGTTCTCCCAGGTGAAAGTTGTAAGTAAAAAAGTTAGTGTAAAACATCTCACTATTTTCAGTCCTAAAATATAATTTTTCGTTTTCGCATGCGATGGAATAATAGTGTTCCACATCAACCTAACTTTACACTGCACATTAGTGTAAATATGCAATCAGGGGGTGTTCAGTTGACACAAACGCAAACTTGTTTCGTTATTGTTAAACTCTGTACAGAAATAAAGATACTGCCTCGGCTGTCGCCTCGGCGATAATTTGTGATTTCTTCGCCTGGTCTATAATGTACTATTTTTTTATACCTATTTTGAATTACCAGTACTTAAAATTAAATGAATTTTTATATTGCACCTTAAAAACCTCATTTTATGTATTTCAGGTTTATACCTGGGTCAGAATTTCTCAAACGGGCCACCTGAATTAGGTCAAAATTAGTTTTTGATTGTAGATACATTTTTTCGATAGTATTTTACATCACTAACACAAATCCTAAAGGATTTTGTAAAAAAAAAATTTTCAATTGACATATTCATGATATTAAAAGTAAAAGTTTTTAGTAAATAAAAAATAAAAAAAAAACATTATGGCTAAACTAATTATCCGATTCCAACGATTTAACTAGCGTTGGAATCTTGTTTTGACATAGATTCTTTGTTATTTTTTTCAATTGTACAATTTTCATTTAGGTCGATTTTTTTTTGTTTTTTTTATAACAAATTCGGAAATAATTGGCTTCTGCGCCAGCTATCGACTCGAAAAAAAAAACACATATACTCCAATCATTTTTCGAAATTATGCTGCTGAGAAAAAAAATGGCCCGCAGGTTCCAGACCACCGTAAGACGTCGCGTCACAAGCGCGTACAGCGTACACGGTTCGGAGCGTGAGATGACACCGCGCGCGGCCACAAAAGGACGAATAACTTTTTGTCAACCTGCGGGCCATTTTTTTTCTCAGCAGTATAATTTCGAGAAATGATTGGAGTATATGTGTTTTTTTTCTCGAGTCGATAGCTGGCGCAGAAGGCAATTATTTCCGAATTTGGTATAAAAAAAACAAAAAAAAATCGACCTAAATGAAAATAGGACAATTGAAAAAAATAACAAAGCTATGTCAAAACAAGATTCCAACGCTAGTTATATCGTTGGAATCGGATAATTAGTTCAGCCATAATAAACTTTTTTATTTTTTAATTATTAAAAACTTTGACTTTTAATATCATGAATATGTCAATTGAAAATTTTTTTTTTACAAAATCCTTTAGGATTTGTGTTAGTGATGTAAAATACTATCAAAAAAATGTATCCACAAACAAAAACTAATTTTGACCTAATTCAGGTGGCCCGTTTGAGAAATTCTGACCCACCTATAATGTTAAACAATAAAGAGAAGTCCTGGGAATTCAAAATAGGTATAAAAAAATAGTACATTTTAGACCAGGCGGAGAAAGCACAAATTATCGCCGAAGCAGGATCTTTATTGTTCAAAGTTTAATAATAACTTGACTTTTGAACTAGTATTCTATATAGAATTCTTTCTATATAGACTTGTGAGTCTTATAATATGAACATAATTGTACGCTAAAGAATAAAATATTTTTTTCGCAAAAATTAAAACATCACAGATTCTTGGCATTTCCCAGACACTGTGAATTTTTGGAAAGGTCAAAGGTCAAAATTTAAAAATTACAAAGTTAAAATGTCAAATATGCATGCAAATATATATTTATACGCCGCCCCCGCTGCGGTGCGACAGTTGGGATTACGTAACAAAACACTTTTGTATACATCGCCTTCTATTAAAAAAAAACAATAACAGTAAACAAAAACAAAACAAATAAAAAAACCTATATTGCTTTTTGAACAGTCCTGCCAATAAGTCCTGTCAAAATCGATTTAGCCGTTTCGGAGAAAAACATTTTAACACTTCAATTTTATTTATATGTATAGAAGGGTGTTTAAAAAAAAACAATTATTGTTTTTTTCTAATGGTGTTGAAAAATTAATAGTACATTAAAAAACAAAAATTTTGGCGCCTATTTCAGCTCTTAATATTAAGGTTTGCCTCAATTCATTTGTTGTTTTTCCATTTCAATAACACGGGAATTTTTATTTTTTTAATTTTGAATTTTTATAACTTTGGAATGGTTTGTTTTTGCAACACCCAAGCGAGAGGAGTTATAGACAATTTCACGCTCTACAAAAAACATCTGAAGGTCAAAGTTCTTCAGATCAACCGTTTCAAAGATATCAGCGATAAAAAATAACACTAATAAAAAATGTCAAATATTTTCAAATAAAATACAAAAAAATATCATATGCCATGTTTATATTATTTTTTATGTAAAATCACTTTATTTCTGTTAACCTGAGACTTTTTTTGTATTTTATTTGAAAATATTTGAAATTTTTGAAACGGTGACTTTGACCTTCAGATGTTTTTTGTAGAGCGTGAAACTCCTCTCGCTTGGGTGTTGCGAAAACAAACCATTCCAAAGTTCAAATTAAAAAAAAAAATTTCCGTGTTATTGAAATGGAAAAACAACAAATGAATTGAGGCAAACCTTAATATTAATATTAAGGGCTCAAACAGGCGCCAAATTTTTTGTTTTTTAATGTAGGTACTATTAATTTTTCAACACCATTCTTTTTTTTTTGAAACACCCTAATGTATAGATGTTTATGTAGATTTATGTATATGTATTGTTTTGTGGGTGTTTGCAAAATGTAATTCATTTTTTTTGTTTCAGGTATGTTAAAAAACTATTCCTATTGGCTTTTACTGTAAGTAAAAACTGTTTATTTTTGCCACTTTTAAAATTACTTCCGCTTTAACCTATAGATGAAATATCCAACTTTGTGCAAATCAAAAAAGCCTTTAATATAAAAACCAGAAAAGTAATAAATACTAAGTATGACCAAGAATGAAGATAAGCTGTAAACCTCGTTTGCAGTAGACGAGACTGGATTATTAGTCTACTGGCACACACTGCTCTTAACAGTGTTGCCAACGTTTGTATTAACCGAAATATGCTTTTATTTCCAATACATTTTAAAGGATTACCATATAATCCTGTTATCTTAAACTTCCTACCGTATTGACAACACCGTTTAGAACTAGCGGCACTAATAATAATCCCTCGCTTTACATTTAATTACCTCTAGTCATTGAAGAGTATGAGTATGCGTAAAATATTGCTTTTTATCGTACAGTATTCGTAGCGTGTACTTTGGCTAATCCATGGGAACTTCTATTATGTGCAACTCCTATTTGCATCAGAAAACAATTAGGACTTAGTCGTTAACAATTTTGTTTACTGTTTTAATAGAAGAATGTGATCTAGATAGACTAATACCGAAATGATACATTTCACATAATTAAAATTAATATTCGTTAAATTTATCTATGACTAATTTATTTGCTTCTTTTAAGCGGTACACGACCGGAAAGTAATAATGTATCTTATTTAATATTTTATGGAAAAGTTCAAACATGACTAACCTTGCTATCAGGAAATATGTATTCATTTAATACTTTCTTATTTTATCACAGTTCATTACCGATTAAATAAACAACACTTCAAATAGAAAGTTAATTAAATTTCACTTCATCTGGCAAAAAAAATAAGCATATCTGTTGGCCCAGAAACTTGGCCCGCATTTTTTATTTAAATTGTTTTTTACCTGCGCGAGGAGAAAGTGTCCTTTTGACAAATGTTTGTATATAATTACTATTATTTTGCTTGCGCGACAGGCCAACCTCATTAACTTTCTTATCTGTAACAGTTTTTAAATTTATGACCACGATATCATCGATAATATAGATGCTATCTTCAATAACTGTTGTCAAATATTAATGCGGTATGCTTTGCAGGTGCAAAACTACGTACTCCTCTAGGGCAATGAAATGTATGGGTCTTAATCATTTTCCATAATATAGAATAATGAGGTACTTAAGCATCACACGTGGTTAAATATCTCGATTAAGTGTAATAAATAGTACCTACATTATTATGAATCGGTAGTTTTGTTAGGAATCTTTGATATTTTTTAGTTAAGTTAGTAGGATGGTTTATATTTTAAAAAAACGTAAATCAACGAGATGCATCCTTGTACGGGTCCGGCGGCAAAGTCGAGTAAAGAAGAAGAGACAGTTGGAGGTCGAAGATGCGCAAAGGTATCAGGAAATGTGTTTTCTAAAGTCATCGTTAAGAAGAGTGACCCCACATATTAACCTACTAACTAATAGGGCCACATATCGGGGACATCGGAGGAGGCTGGTGATGATACCGGCTCGACTGCTGCGATGAGACGGGGTGCTTCTTCTTATTCTTCGAGTACCACCGCACATGCAGTGAACGTCGAACGAACGAACGAATCTCTGACCCAGTTGTGTGGGTGGATCTTCGTGCGCTCTCTTTGTTCGAGTCGCGGCTGGGCTCAGAAGTAGGTTAGTGCAGCCAGCAGCGGTGGGGCATCTTGGTCCTCGGTACGCCACACTAGACTAGTCAGTGGCACTCTGTCGTCGTACCTGCTAGTATCGCGTTCGTGCCCGTGTATGCCTGCTGCTTGACGACTCGTAGGTCGTAGGCATGTGACTGCCGCAACACGTATTGCCATGAGCCCCGCGTCCTCAGGCAACTTGGAAATCGAACGATACATCGGTGCCTGTCTAATTTCGCAAAACCGATCGAAATCGAACAACAATCACGGTGGTGCTAACAAGGGTCGCGAGTTTTACGCAAGGGATCCGTTGATTCCGGACATTTTTCCCGCAAATTATGTGAATCTGGATGGAAGATATCGTCTGCAGAGATGCAACTCGGTGGACGTTTGGGCCGGTGGAATGCCCTTAATTTCTTTCGCCAACAATCAACGACAACGTTCTCGTCACTTGGAACCGCAAGACGGGTTAAGTGGCTCACAGAGAGTAGATGACCAGCACAGTCCATTGGCACGGTTAGCCGTCCATACTCAAGGTGCGCCTTTAATTCTTACCAAGAGTTACAATCACAGAAAAAACAAAGTCAACAGAAACAACAATAACAATGGTGGCCAAAAAAATCCACCCAGTCAAAAACTCATCAACCACAACAAGTGTCAGGACGTGCAAAATAATGGGACAGGTGGTGTAGATGCTGTGAGTGTTGCCAGTGACGAAAGTTCAGGTTCTGCCAATTCGGAAAATTGCTTGCCGCGTATCATAAAGCCTCGCAAACGACGGAAAAAAGATCGCAAACCTCCTCTTCTCGGTCGCCCTTTGAGCCAGGAAGGCTTTTCCACAGACAGTGCCAGTCCAGATATAGACACGTCCAGTGTCAACCTGCATAGATCGTTTATACCATTTAACTTTGATAACAATAATTATTCGTTTAGATCAGTAACTGTTCCTGATAATATTGCTTTAAGTCATATGATTAATAACAATAACAGTTTCGTTGATCGCTATCAAAACCTCCACGACACCAGTGAAACTCCAAACTTGCATCACTCGTTCGAAGATATCGAGGAAGTCGACGATGGCAAAGACATCAACGGCAACCAAACCACAAGCACCTGCCAATGCCGGTACTGCGATCCTTCTGGGCAAATTTGGGACGTGGACAGAAGCTGTTACTCCCCATTTTTGACACCACCGAACAACCACAACAACGCTTTTCAATTCAACTTCAACCTGGGTCAACATAACTACTACACTAACCCCATTAAAGATGAAGAAAATTACTGTTTGGTTCACAGCATGTCGTCGGTGTCTCTCGAAGAGGACAACAACAAATCAGTGCAGGACAAAAAAGTTAAACACATCACTTCTGGAGATTTGGAAGTTTCCACAGAAATAGTGACATCTTTAAACGGACATCGTGACCTAGAGATTAAGTTCTTTTCAACCCACAGTGCCGATGTGTCACCAAATCACCACCACAATATCAATACGGATAAGTTTGCTGTAAATAGTTTAATGTGTAAATTTGTGTCCGAAGAATGAGTGCTCTCTCCTCTATCTCGTATAGGAAGTAAACACTAATAATAATTATTCATCATCATCTATCATCTCACGCTCGGAGATGTTTCGATCTCTTCCAATTCTTTGTGTATCGCGCAAAGTATTCATTATTCGCTTTCACTTTTCAGAAGAAGTGCAGTTTTTTTATTATTTCCGTATGTATCATTATTAAACTTTGTTCACTAAAACTTTCTACATAAAGTTTACTGGTGCATGCGGAAACCAACCGTTCACGTTGCTTGTTTTCCCACAAATTGTTTTTGTTCTAAAACGATGAACGGCTGGATATTATTTACCTTTACGTGTTTTTTACTTTAATTTTATTTATTTATATTTCCCTCTCACTTTCTCTTTTAATTTGTTATTTTTGACACGTCTGTGTTTAAGTATTATTGTATTATTATAAATATACGAAAATATTTGCCTCTTTAATTTAACAAGCCGTTTCATTTATCCTTCATCGAGTACCAACCCATATTTTGGTACCAAACTACAGTTTTGTTTAAATAAATAATATTATTCATACATCTTAAAATATTATTTAAAATGTTTATTTTCAATCGGTCTATAATTTGAAAATGATTATTTAGGTTAGGTTTTTAACACTTTAGGGAGTTCAAATTAATTATTTATAAACCAATCAAAAAATTTAACTACCTTCATATCTACCTAACCTTACTTTTAATAATAATTATTATTATTGTGCGTTTTATGTATCGTTTAACAAATAAAATTGTGCATTGAGCTCAACACAAAAAGGCTCACTTATTGACCTTTTAACATAAATAACTATTATAGATCAACAAGTATTTTAGATTAATAACTCACAGAAAAAATTTTTCAAATCTTGTGAGAGTAATATCAAATAAAGCAAATTCCAATATTTTTTTATTAGCTAATTCTATCCCATAAAATTTTCGAGTCCAGTTAAAATAATGAAGTAAAAATGTGATATCTTATATTATTGCCCATATATATACTAGGCTGAGCTACGCGTTGGCCTCAATTGAGCTAAGCGATCTGCGAGTAGTAAAATTTTTTATTTGGTTAAAACGGATTTTTTATAGACTAAAATGTAAGGTGATGCTAAATTGCGAAATGCCACTTTTGCATTCGAGAATAAAATTTTTTTTGTGCTTCAGCGAGCAAAAAAATCATTCGAGAATGGAAAAGAATTTCGCAATCGAGTATCAAACAACATTTTTTTGAAAACTGTTGAAATGGATTTAAAAGTATTTTGCGTACATAACAACGGAGGTAAAAGTATTTTGCATACATAGCAACGAATGTAATAGTTATTTATGTCATACGGCTGAGAAGTATGTCTTTTTGTGCATAGTTTATAACAACATGATATTAATTATTAAAACCATAAAGTGATGTCACAGGTATCGATTTTTTTATTTGTCCCTGCGGGTTTATACAGACTAGGAGGTAAAAAACTTTACATAATTGGTCTAAATGTTTTTCCAGCCTAGGAGATAATACTTAGGCAGTGATCGTTGACAATAATAAAGCCTAAATTATAATACGCAAAGATATATTATGTATCAAGTTTGATAAATGCCATTTTATACACGAATTTAATTTAGGCACGAGCGAGCTTACGAGCGAGTGCTTAAATTAATGAGTGTAGAAAAATTTATAAACGAGGTGCATACTATACTTTTTCTACGACAAATACTTATTATTATCTTAAAATGATTTAAATCAAAAATTTGTATAGAGCGCCCTCTATGAAACAATGGGGGAATCTGTGTGTCACCGTCAAATGTCAAATTTTATTCTTTTATAAACACAATTATAAAGGTTATAAATCGAAATGTATTTCTTGAAAATTGACAGTTTTTCACAGTGAAAGTACAGAAAATGTTTTATGAGCACCTTACCGTGGGGTCCGTGCCCGAATTTAAGTTATAGTTTACTGCCGGCAAAATTAAAAGGTCAATGTTCATATAAACTTTTCAAATATTGTCGTTGAGAAACTATTTGATACTTTTGTATTTTTGTATTAAGATAATAATAGTATATTACACTACAAGGGCAGAAAGTGTGAGATTCCTGCACTGCGCGCGCGTGTCATGGAAACATGCACGATAAAGGGCGTTTTAAAGGTGGGAGTAGAAAAAATACTTTTACGTTCTGTATACAACTGTTGTTTTGACATTTTAATAAATATAATGTTAAAGTCATCTTTTAATGGGTGTTTGAAAAAATAGTTCTACAGCCCGGGTTTTAACCAATCACTTTAGAGGTAATTGGTGACAATAATTAAGTTTTAATTATAGAATCTTCATGGCACAGTTTTTTTGTAAAATAATACATAAAACGTACAAACAATAAGAATTATTAAAAGTATAAAGTAAGGTTAGATAGCTTCAGAAATATCAACAGTTATAGATTTTTGTAAGCCTTATACTATAATATAATATTATTATTAATCATCTCAATCTTGCTAATTTAATAATGGTAAATTCCCCTTAATTTATTAGATACTGTATCGGTTTAAAACTAAAGAAAGTTAACGGCATCGTTGTATTAGCAATTGATTGAATAATTGATTTGGCCTGCAGATATGGGCTAATATAATTTTCCTAAAAAAATAAAATTAATGACTTTTAAAAAGGCAATTTAAAATATTACTTGATTATAACATAATGTATAAATCCATCATTTTGCCACGCCGAATTAAATTACAGCCTACTGTAAACGGTTTTTGGCGCGGCCGAACATTTTATAAACATAAAAATTTTGTTTAAAAAAATGCAAAGCTAATTATTATTATCATTAATCTGTGGTTAATAAGTAATTGAGCACGCTCTACCAATAAACTTAATTTTAAAAATTATATTTTTAGGATACAGATTTTGTATGAATCCTTAACAAGAAAACTGTTGGTGTTTTCCAAAAATTAAATTGCGTTTAAAATTCCTGTAAAATACCAAAGAACCTATGGTTTATTTGACTATATAAAAGCACAAAAGTAAGAGGTATTTACATAAATTATCAGCTATATAATCATTAAACAAAAATGTGTTTTGTAATTGGGAACTAATTAACAAATTATTATTCTTCTGTGGGAACTAGTTAAAGGCTTTGTTTGAAAACTAGTTTATTATTCGAATATAATTATTTACCTTTTAATATTTTTAGGTTAAACACTATGACTAATTTTTATAGTAGAGTATAATCGTAAAGATGATATTAAAACTCGTACAATGTTGTTTATTGTAGATACTGTTAAATTATATTCTTTTTGTTAAATTTGTTTTAGTGTTTCGTATAAAACTTAGTCGTGTTTTATTAATTGTTGATACCTTAATTAAAATTTATCTGTAAACCCTACTTTTTTGGTCGTAAAATTAAAAGTATTTTTTTGGGTGGAAAGTAATTATTTATTTATTTATTTATTTATTTATTTACATCATCTTACAGTCCTTGGACCAATTACAAGATGAGATATTAACCTAAACTAAATATATCACATGAAAAAAAATGTTATAATAAAAAAAAATTATTGCAATTATCTTTTAACCGAATCCAAAAAAAAAGTCCAATATATTTAAATTTCAGTAATAACACGCAAAGCAATTTTTTTCAATCGTCTCTTCGGATATGTTTATTGGGTCTGTCTAATGTAAAAATCCAGGTGCTCCCATATAGGTAATTGCACCACGACTTGGCCCAATCGCTTTGATCTCTCAAGTTTTTTAAGTGAGCGCACAAGGCGCAATAAAGATCGAAAAAAACTCTGATAAAACGAGAAGAGACTGAAACGCGACATCGCGACATGAACCTCGTGAGTTAGTCAGGTGCATTGGGGGAATTTATGGGGAAAGCAAACTAGCTTGGGTAAAATGGAACTTAAAGGTTTTAAAACCAACGATCTATTTTATGAGGCTTAGATAAGCAATAAAATGTTTATGGCACCTTTCTTTTATAATCAATGCACCTTTCCATTATGCCAGTTTAAGGAACATATTATTTTTCGACGTAATCCACATCAAATCGTGAGAGTCGATGATCTTTAGCGATGTCGCCATGGTTTACGAGCACATCAATGAAAGAAAGATCAAATTGATTACCAACGTTCTGGAACAATAACGTGAACCACCTGGATGCAATTAAGCAACAAGACGTACATAAAGTCATTCTGACAAGTTTTTAAACTACAAGGGTAGGTCCAAAACTACGCGCAACGAAGTGTATGTTTGTATATAGTAAGAAATTATAAATTAGGTATTAAGAACAGTATACTGTTCTATCCTTATAAGGATAGTTCACCGATCGACGACAATGTTCGCTACGCTCAGTCGCCAATATTGGAGGGGATCGGTAAACTCCTTACTGTTTGAGATGCTTATACAATTTTTTGTGCGACCTATTTATTTTGTGCTCGTTTTTGTCAAAAAATAATATATTCAATTCGTTGTTATATATACGTTTATATTTTTTGTTTATATTTCTTAATGTCACCTTATTTGTCAAACGCGCGTGACAAGCTGTTATCTTTTACTGATGAAATACTATAATTGATTCTGAAAGCAAAGAAAATAGAGACATTCAACAATTGTGGGAAATAGGACGTTTCATTGCTATGAAAAAACTTATACAAGTGGGTTGAAGAAAGCAATGGAAAGACTTTATATATATATATATATATATATATATATATATATATATATATATACATTAAAAATAACTACAATATTATATGTATACATGTATAAATGTATAAATTATATGTATACATGCATAAATGTCTAGAAAAAATGGCGACTTTCTGGACAAAGTACACAGAGAAAAAGAAATAATAACATTAACTGTTACAAGGTAATAGTTACCCTTTAGTGGATTCGTATTCTGCCAAACCTATATGAACTAACAGTAATAATACTACAAGGTATAAAGAAGTACTTAACCTTACCTTTTATTTATTAATAGAAAGGTTTAGAAATATTAATAGTTAAATCACTTTAATAACTATTAAAATTACTTTATTATTTTAAATATTGTATTTACTAACTGTTATGTTATTTGGTTTTCTATTAGTATTTTATTATAATAATCACATTTTCTGAGTTATCAGTTATTTTTCCATCAGCTAATAGTTAATCTATGAAAGTAAGTATTATGTTAGCATATGATTATGCAAACAGCATGGTTAAAAAGTATAAATACGAAATTTAATTTAACAAATAATACTTATGTACATCCACCAGCATTAAAACAATTTATATAATAATAATTATTAATACTAATATAAACTATTACCTAATTGTTTAGAAAACAACAACAAAAAACCTCATGGTTCAAACGCTTATTACTTCTATCATGGTGGAAAAACACGATTTCGGCGTATTAATTATGGCATATCTCCTATATAGCACAGTTTTTGGAAAAGCAAAACTAGATATTTATAATA